TCAATTTTGAATGAGAGCCTTGCTAAGTATAGTATTCTTGGATTCATTCCCTTGCTTTGCATCACTTTGTTATTTCATTTCATTCCCTCTGGCCTGATGAGTTTCTGTTGATAAAGCATTTGACAGTCTAATGGGAGATCCCTTGTACATAACTTTCTGTCTCTCTCTGGCAGCCTTTAAGATTCTTTCTTTGTTTTTGATGTTTGCCAATTTAATTATGATGTGTCTTGATGTCGGTCTTTTTTGGGTTCATCTTATTTGGGACTCTATGTGCTTCTTGGACTTGTGTGGCTTTTTTCTTCCAAAGATCAGAGAAATTTTCTGTTATTATTTCTTCAAATAAGTTTTCTAGTCCTTGCTTCGCTTCCTCTCCTTCTGGAACCCCTATTATGCAGATGTTGGTTCATTTCATGTTGTCCCAAATCTCTCGTAGGCTCTCCTCCTGTTTGTTGTTTTCTTTCTAGTTGCTGCTGTGTTTGTGTGTGTGTTTTTTCTGCCTGTCTTCTAGCTTGCTGATGCAGTCCTCAGCTTTTATTACTCTACCATGAAAGCCTTCCATTGTATTTATTATTGCGGCTATATCATTCTTCATCTCCTCTTGATTCCTTTTCATGTTGGTGACATTCTAATTCAACTCCTTATAGTTCTCATAGATTTGTGTGTATTTGTCTTCCAGACATGTAAGCACCCTTATAACCATTAATCTGAATTCTTTCTCTGTCCAATTACTTGACTCCATTTCATTTAATTCTTTTTCTGGTGATTTCCCCCCCGCCCCACCTTTGGGATTGTTTTTGTTATTTGTTTGTTTTTGTCTTTCCATTTTTATTTATTTATTTATTTATTTATTTATTTATTGCTGTATTGTTTTAATTGTTTCTATGTCTTAGATCTAACTGCTTTGCAATCCAGATTCTTGTGGGAGTGGTTCCATGTAGTTGATGATTTTTGGGACCCAGTGGTGCAGTCTCTCAGATCCCTTGAGCTTGGTGATCTCGTGGAGCCCCCTACTTGTGCTATTTGGGTTCTTCCGATCTATTTGGGCTTTGAATGTTGATTTCTCATTTGTGGATGAAGTCTCGCCATGGATTGTCAGGAAATGTGACTCATCCCTGGTTTCATTGTGCAAGCTGCTGTGGATGTGATCATGGTTCTGGCTCTTGTGAAAAGGGTTGCCTGAGGTCCCACTGGTCTATGTTCACTGTGATTTCCTGGAGTCCATGGCCTGGGAAGAGATATTGGGGCCTGAGGCTCAGGTACTGTGACTTTGGCCAGTGTTGTGTGACTCTTGCTGAAGGTAGTGTCAATCTCCAATTCACTATGAGGTCCTGGAACCCGTGACCATAGGGAGCAACTGTCCCATAGTCTGCAGCTGAGGCAGTGGGACTCTGGCCCAAGTGATTTTCTTTCTGAAAATTGCCAAGGGGAGTCCAGGAGCCAGCAGCTGGGGATGTGGGAGTCTCAGTGTCTATGGATTAAAACTGTGTGACCTTGTCCGGGGAGGCAAATCCTCAGTAACTCACCAAGGTGTTCCGAAGCAGGCAGTTGGGAGGGGGAAGTCGTGGATCCTTCCGAGAAGGCTGTGGGCCCTTGGTTGCGGAGGCATGCACCCAGTGGCAGCTCACAGAGGGGCCTAGGAGCTGTCTAGAGCGGTGCGATTGTGGTGTATTGTGGTGTCCAGATGCTGGCTGCTGGGAAAGGGAACATCACAGTTTCTGCTTCATGAACCCTTGATTGGGTACGCACATGCCCACCAGCGGCTTACATGCCACCCAGGAAATGTCCACTGGGGCGGTAGGCTCAGAGGGCCTGCGTGCTGGAGCAGTGAGACCGTGGAGACCAGATGCTGGTAGCGAGAAGGTGCAAGATCCAGCTTCTGCTGCAGGAGCCCTGTGCCCTTAGTTGAACCACTCATGCCTTGCAGTGTTTCACAGAGGCACCTGGGAGCTCACTCACTCACACCCTCTAGGTCCTGCCAGACACCATCTATTTTCCCACTCTAGATTCTTAAGAAAGCAATCTGCCAATATTGATCAAGAGCAATAAAAGTGGTCTTGCATTTATTTATTTATTACTATTTTACGTCTGGGAATATATTCTAAACACATCCTTGAGAGGTAGAAAAAAAAATCCTTTATAAATAGGTTCCTTAGAGCATTTCTGATAACAGAAAATTATAAATAACTGAATATCCATTGTCATGATATGTGATCAGTATAAAGACAATATCACTATATAAGATCATTCATGAAATGAACTATGTTCATATGACTATAACTGTTTAATACAGAAGTAAACATGGAAATGTAAAAATTGGGGTAGACTTTAAGAAATGGTAGGTTTCTTCTCTTTGAGTTTCTTTAATATTGCCATTCACTCACGGGGGAGGGGGGATCTAAATTTATCCTGTCTAAATATAAAAATGTATATATATCTAGTTACATAGATATAAATGTAGATAACGTTTTAAGTTTTTGTTTATAAGAAACAGCAAAGTTCAAATTGAAAGGTTTTCGGATTGCAATATAAAGTCTGAATATATGAGCTTTTCTACAGTAAGGCTCAGTCATTGTTTCTAGCAATTGGCTGAGATCCCCATTGCTCTGAGGTACTAAGATATGGCCATTGGGTTAACTGTGGTTCTAGGGTGGTGATGGGTGGATTCCATGCACCGTGCCCTCCCTCACAGAGACAAGACGCTGCTTCTCAGGACATCTACGCTGAACCTGGCCCTGGCCCCACGCACGGGCCTCCCAGCCTGCACATGGCTGTCCCCATGAACGGGGCGCTCTCTGGCCCACAGGTGAGCCTCTCTGCCATCCTGATACTGGCTGCAGGTTTCTTAAATAACGTCAACGTAGAAGACTGTGGGGGGGGGTTTGTGTGAAAAGTTTATTTTAAAAGTTTTTCGAAACTATTTGCTCCTCTTTAAAATTAGCTTCCTTCCATCACAGAATATTTTCACAAAAGAAAACAATCTGAAGCTAAAATCTACATGAAAGTTGCACCTGGCTCACCCAGTTCTCTTGCCAAGATGGAGATGCAAATTACTCTCTGTGAGGTTTGTGGTTTCCCATGTTACTTAAGTTAGACAAGCCTCTGGTCAACTTATTCAATGCCACATCCCAGCATTGTTCCCCATATACTCATAGTCTATGAGGTGTGAGATACAGGTGCACAAAGGAAGCATCAAAGTCCCGGAGCCTCTGGGGACTGACAGTCGGCACCACACTCCAAGGGACACATCATGAAGGACCACACAGACACTCTGGAAAATGACAGCAGTAGCAGTTGAGCCCCCCAAAGACTGGAATTGCACATGAGCACAACCAACCTTTAAATCTGTGAACACCTATCTGATACAATAAAGTAGTCTAAGTTAAGGGTTTAAATTGAAATTACATTCAAAGACTTCAACTGCTCTTAAAAAGTTTCGCCAGAAACATCCAGCACGGGAATACTGGCCACCTTCCCAGCCCCTCACCAATTCAACATCACAGACCACCAAAGCCCTCCACGCCTCTGAAGACTGACAGTCAGCACCACACTAGAAGGGACACGTAAAGAATGACTTACAATCACAATGACTCATAAAAAAAATTAAGACTCCCAATGTCAAAGAGGAGAGGATTGTAATTTTTTTTTGTAGTAAGGAACATTCTACACACAGCGATGTCTTTAAAAAATAATCCCAGAAATCATCCAGTTTACATGACTTCCTGGTATCATCCTTAGTGTACAGAGGAAATTAAGACACTGAAAGTTTTAAGAGTATTACGTTATGTTATCAGCAAAGCCAGTAGGGTCTTACAGACTGAGGGTTGAGAAGAAAAGAAGGATTCACACTCTGGGATACTTGTTGAAGTGGGGGATGGACACAGGGACCATCTTCATTAACCTCCTCCTCACTCAGACATCGTTCACTGGGCCAGCGGTTTTCAGCCTTTTTCAACTTGTGGCACACAGAGCTAACTACTGGAAAGTTAAGTGTTGCATGTTTTAAAGATTCTTGTGGCACACGGGATGGACATCATGGCACTAGACTCTTCTTTCTACTTTTGTACAAGTTTGGATATTTCCACAATAAAAAGTTTTTAAGCTGAAACCGGTTTGGCTCAGTGGATAGAGCGTTGGCCTGCAGACTGAAAGGTCCCAGGTTCGATTCTGGTCAAGGGCATGTACCTTGATTGCAGGCACATCCCCAGTAGGGGGTGTGCAAGAGACAGCTGATTGATGATTCTCTCTCATCTCATCGATGTTTCTAACTCTCTATCCCTCTCTCTTCCTCTCTGTGAAAAATCAAAAAAATATATTTTTAAAAATAGTTTTTAAAAAGCTAATCTTTTTCACTTACATAAGGTACTTAAGAGTTAAAATCATAGAGCCAAGACCGGTTTGGCTCAGTGGATAGAGCGTCTGCCTGTGGCTGAAGGGTCCAGGGTTCAATTCCAGTCAAGGGCATGTACTTTGGTTGCGGACACATCCCCAGTGGGGGGCGTACAGGAGGCAGCTGATCGATGTCCCTCTCTCATCGATGTTTCTAACTTTCTATCCCTCTCCCTTCCTCTCTGTAAAAAAACAATAAAATATATTTTAAAAAAGAGAGAGAGTTAAAATCATAGAGACAAAAAGGAGAATGGTGGTTGCCAGGGGCTGGAGGGAAGAGAGCTCGGGAGTTAGTGTTTAATTGTACAGTGTTTCTGTCTTAGAGATGAAGAGAGTTCAGGAGACGAAGGGTGGTTATTTTTGCACAACATTATGCATGTATTTAATGCCATTAAACTGTACATTTAAAACAGTGAAGATAGTATGTTTTCTGTTGTGTTTTTTTTAACACAATAAAAAAACTGAGAAGGAAAAAAAAGTTAATCTTATATCAATGAATCCTAAAAAAGTAAAAAGTAGACTGAAAATAGTATCCTTAACTCTTCACCTAAACTGGCCTCTGCATTACCCCAAAATGTAGGAAGAGAGGGAGGGAGGGCGCTCAGTGCACTCACGGCAGGCTCCTCGTTCAGTGTCTGCAGCATCCAGTTTTCCAGCGCCTGGAAGTCCCGGGGACCTTGGTATTTCACACCTTCCTGGCCAGGCTTGAACAGCTTCAGGCTGAAAGGGGAACAAAGGATTAGACAGAGCAGATTTTTAAAGCGCTCCAAACTGCTTGGAGCAAAGAGCACCATCATATCAGGGAGCAAGCTGGTTTAGTGAGGCAGCCAGGAGTGAGTGACCAGTGGGCTGCAGCCAGGCAGTATCTGCCACTCTTGGATGAAAATTGCAAAAATAATAATATCAATAATAATAATAATAATATAGATGATATATTCATTTAATCCTATAGTCTTTAAAGTTTTATATTTTATTCAAGAAAAATAAAGCCAAGGTGGACACATCAAGCCCAAAGCTGTGCATTACAGCCCAGGCTGCAGGTGTTCACATGTGCAGAACTCTCAAGCTTTCCCTGCCAGGGGTCTGCCCTCCTTCCTAGCTTTAGTAGTTTGTGTTCCGCTTTTTTATATTTTTTAAATGAGAACTGTGATAGAAACAACACTGTATTTCCAGGCTGCCATGACAACTCCTTGACTTACAAAGCACGAGCATCCAGGTATAAGAAGAACCTTGACAATGGCTAAAGGTTACTCACTTCCCCACAGAGAAGGAATCTTTTCTTTTTCTACACATATTAGCCCCTGAAGAGATCTGCAGAGTATTTAGCATTCCTTTAGAGGTGAGCAAAAGACATCATCAGAGGCTCAAGTTAATGTTTCCAGACCCTGTATCACGCCACCGGTCACGTAAAAACATGCTCGTGACAAAACTTGGTAGAAGGTGTCAAGGAACAGGGGGCAGGATTAATTCTTCTATTGACAGAATTAGTAGAAGATGTCAAGGACGGAGGGGGAAATGTGGCTACTGACAGAAAAACACACAGACAGGCTTTTTTTGGCAACCCCGCTCATCTGAAACACCCCTGACAATCTACAGCACGCACCTGGAGTCTGCTGGCAGATGCCCAAAATTCAGTGTCAGAATGTAAATGTGCCGCAATCAGAACTGTGGGTTTGACTAGCTAACTCCCCACATGACTTAAAATGAAGTCTCACAGCTACACCAGAAAACCACACATTGGCTGCAGAAGGTCTTTGCATTAAAGCAGGCTTACTGGCCTCACCCAGAAGCAAGATCCTGCGATGGGCTTATTAGGTGACTTTCCTAATGTGCCTCCAACAAAGAATATTCATGCCACTTCCTCAGCAGCCTACACTTTTACAAGCGTAACAAAAAGCCAAAAGCTAACTAGATTTGGCAAGAATGCCCGACTTCCTGAAGTTTAATATTGTAAGCAACTCCAAAGTATGATTTCACAATTAAGAATACGCTGCTGTAAAAAAATAAAGAACTCTTAGCCCTAGTCAGTTTGGCTCCGTGGATAGAGTGTCGACCTGCGGACTGAAGGGTCCCGGATTCGATTCCAGCCAAGGGCACATGCATGCACAAGGTAGCAGATCAATGATTCTCTCTCATCGCTGATGTTTCTATCTCTCTCTCCCTCTCCCTTCCTCTCTGAAATCAATTTTTTAAAAAATATTTAAAAGAAAAAGGAAAGAACTCTTATCATTTGCAATAGCATGGATGGACCTGGAAAGCATTATGCCAAGCAAAATAAGCCAGTCAGAGAAAGATAAATATCACTCAATGATCTCACTCATTTGTGGAATATAATGAACAACATAAACTGGTAAACAAAAGTACATCCAGAGACACTGAAACATCAAACAGTCTGCCAATCTTCAGAGGGAAGGTAGGGGAGGTAAGATATAAACCAAAAGAATTTTATGCATATAAGCATAACCAATGACACAGAGGGTGAGGGCATGAGCTGGGGGTGGCCAATGGGGAAAAAAAGAGACATATGTAATGCTTACATGTAATACTTTAAACAATAAATAATTTTAAAAAAAGAAGAAGAATGCCCAGACCCACCCCTAGGACCGTAGAAAGCTCTGGAAACATGTGCTTGGCCCAGAGAACTAGAAGATGCTACTGTCCTCTCTACCTGCTTTCTCCCTTCCAAGCATCTCTCTCCAAAGAGCTTCAGGATCCTCAAATATCAGAAAGGCGTTGTTCTCAAACTCATTCCCCATTTCTTTGCTAACTTTAAAAATTAGTAAAACCCAGCCTGTGCTATTTTTCCAACATGGTGTGCTTTGAGCAAAAACAAAACAAAAATTTTTAAAAATCTTTTTTTCATGAACTGAAAACTACTCTGCTTGCCCACGTCTGAGATTCTTCCTGAAGTTCATAGAGCCTAGAAATAAAATTAGAGCTTCCTCTACAGGCTTTTTGGTCTAACTTCACTTCTCACTGTGGAGGGAGAGATAGCTGCAGGATACAAGGCCAAACTGTTCTGCTGGCATTTGGGAGTTTTTGGTCATTTATTTCTTTTTCAAGGAGACCTCCTGGGAGCAAATGTATGGGTCACTGTGGAAAACAATGTGATGAAAGTTCTGCTACAAGCAATGAGACAGTGCTATGGACCGAACTGTGTCTCCCAAATCAGATCTGCTGCCGTCCTGACCATGTACCTGAGAATGTGGCCTATGTAGAAAGAGTATATTTACGGAGGTAAGTTAAACTGAGGTTAATAGGGTGCGCTCTCATTTACTATGACTGTGTGCTTATGAGAAGGAGAAATTTGGACACGGAGAGAAGGCCACATGAAGATGGAGGACCGGAGGGGTGCATCTACACCACAAGCAACACTGAAGACTGCTAGCAAACCCCCAGAAGCAGGGAAGAGGCAAGGAGGCTTTCCTGACAGGTTTCGAGGGAGCATGGCCCTGCCGATGCCTTGATTTTGAGCTGCTGGCCTCCAGCACTAAGAATAAATGTCTATTCTTTTTAACCAGCAGTTTGTGTGCTCTTATGGCAGCCCTACGAGCCTCTTTTAGCCCTGCCCCTGCTCACGTTCTCCTACAGGACTGAGGTTATTTTCTGGCTCCACAGGAAGACCTCAACACTTTCCTGAGCAGTCAGCCACCTGCAGGGGCACGGAAACTCAATGCCTCCCTCTCCAATCCTCGTCTCCAGTTACAGGGGCCAGGAAGAATGACACAAAGGCACATATAGCGACACATACACCCCATGCTCAGGCATTGACATCCGCTAATCGATTCAGGCCTTGCAAATAAAAACTCAACAGGTAACTTATGAACACCCTCCTGTGACTACATTTTATTCAGCACATCCGCCTCCTGCCTTCAATGAAACAAATCTCTCCTCAGGCACCTGTGTGTCATGGGGATGCAGGGTCCTTCCCAAATCACATCCAGCATAGTGTAAGCTCATTTTACTTTGTTTTCAAACACAAAGCCAATGTTTTATTTGGGAGACCTTAAATAGAAAAACATGTAAATTGATCATACCTCCGCTATGCCCACCAGCCAATCAGGAGTAAATATGCAAATTAGGACAAAGATGGTAGCTGCCCAGCTCTCCAGGCGCCTGCTATGAAAGGGAGGGCAGGGAGGGCGAGGGGCGAAGGGATCTATAGGAGCAGCAGTCCCCCACAGCCAGACAAAGATGGCAGTCTGTAGCAAAGATGGCAGTCTGTAGCAAAGATGGCAGTCTGTAGAGAAGATGGCAGACTCCAGCTGGAGCAAAGGCCTGGGTCCCAGGTGCCGGAGGAAAATCGGTGCTGGAAGCCAAGGGAAGAAAGGCCTATTGCATGGATCTCTTCATGCAACGGGCCTCTAGTCTTCTTAATATAAATCAGGACACATGACCCAACATGGATCTTTTAAAGTCTGCGAAGAACGTCTATGGAGTTGCAGCCAGATGACTCACATAGTCAAGTCCAGGTGGAACCTCTCCTCCCCTCTCTGCTGCCCCTACCGTGCGTGCGCCCTCAGCCCTGTGACAGCTCCTGTTGCTCTGCCTTCCCTCTGCAGGGCTGGTGGTGCACACAGTGGGCCAGCTGTTTCAGAGTGGCCACTGCAGTCAACCCTTGCTACGGCCCCTGCACTTTGAGGTCACAGGCTCTCAATAGGTGAGCAGCTATCTCCTCTCCTGCTCCTACGACTCAGTGACGGCTTCTTTGGGACACTCCGTCCAAGCAGAGTTTACTTTAAAGGCAATGCGATGACGCCAGGACACTGGTGCCTTTAGGAAAGGGACACACGGTGGGAAATTTTATCTCTATGTGATCTGACTTGGTGCAGACTTTAACTATGACACATAGATTAGCAAGCATTCACCAAAGACCAAGAATTCCAGAGTCCTATGTGGAAATGCTGAATTTCCAAATGTCAGGGGAAACCTAACATTGCTGGGTATGCTCAGAGTGGTGTTTGCACACATTCTGTTTCATAACCATGTCCAGGGGGGTGGGGTGAGTCTCAGCGTCCTACTATAGACTCAGAAGTCAACCCGTGTGGCCAGAGTTACACGGTAACTAGACGGTGGGGCTGGGATTCAACCCCGGCCTTTGGGTTCCAGCCCAGAGTTCCTTCCGCTTTTCCATCCTGACTCCCAGGCTGGAAGGTAAGCTCAGGTTTTGGATAGACTTTCCTTAGTCTATCAATGTGAACAAGTATTTCTGTGGCTGCAGCAGCCAACCCCTCCGCCGCCCTCCCTGTGCGGCCTGAATGGGGCTGTTTTCCTATGAGATCCAGCCTCTCTGTTCCCGAATGAACACCCGTCCATGCTGGGCCAGTGAGTAGTGACCCAAGTCCACCCTGGCATCAGAGCCAGAGCCAGAAGGTAAAGGCATCTTAAGAGGGACCCAGAAAAACAGGCCCCCAAATCTCTGCAGCTGCGTTTCAGAGCTCCCCTCACAGCCTTCTTTGTTTATTAAGTCAGTTTCCATTTCTATGTCTTAAAACCAAAAACCCTTTTAACTGTCATGTAAGGAAGTCATGTTACTTGTCAGAACCACTGTATCCCACTTTGTTACCTTTCTGTCCAAAAGAAATAGCTTTGTGCTAGTCACATGGGAATTACTCTAGGAAGATGCTTAGGAATAACAGAGTGATCAAAAATCAATACTAAGCTGAAACTGGTTTGGTTCAGGGGTAGAGCGTCGGTCTACGGACTGAAAGGTCCCAGGTTCGATTCCGGTCAGGGGCATGTACGTTGGTTGCGGGCACATCCCCAGTAGGGGGTGTGCAAGAGGCAGCTGGTCGATGTTTCTCTCTCATCGACGTTTCTAGCTCTCTATCTCTCTCCCTTCCTCCCTGTAAAAAATCAATAAAATATATTAAAAAAGAAAAGAAAAAAAAATCAATACTGAATAGATGACAAAATCTGTACTCAATTGTGTAATGTCCTCATGAACATCCAACCTGACAGGACCTCATAGAGACCATCATTTTTACCTTGAAAACACATGTTCCTATAAACAGGAAAACCCAACACTGATTAATGAAAGGTTTTTTCCATAGAAGGTACAAAAAGACACCTAGTATAGACCTGGTGTTAAATATAATCTTTCTTAACAACAGGGACGGCCTGCTTAAATTCAGCAGCCCCTCGCGCCTCAGAACTACAAAGGAAGGGACCAAAATGTGAGGTGGGCTTTCTCTGGCCAAAGGCAGCTGGCCAGAAGACGTGGAAAACCTGGAAGGTACGGGAAGCACGTGCCCTCCCTACTTACGTGGGGTATCCTCGCACGCCCTGCTCGGAGCACACGTCTGAGCTGGCCGTGCAGTCCACTTTAGCCACGTAGATTTTGGCATCTTCCATGTTGTTGTACTTGTCTCCCAGTTCATTCCAAGTAGGCTGCAGCCGCTGGCAGTGTCCACACCTGTATCAACGTGGGAGTAACGAGTATACTGAGTGCAGGGTCAGAGGATGCCCAACTCCTGCCCCCTTTCAGCCATTCCCATGGGCAATGGGGCTCTCTGACTCCTTCCTCACACCTCAGCAGAGATGGGTTAGCTCACATCAGTGCAAAACCTCACTCCCCTGCTTATAACCCACCCACCTGAAAGTCCCCGCAGTGTTCTTACCATGACATCCAAATTTCGCAAGGTACTGACTGCTAGGTCCTCCCCGAGGTGCCCCTGCAGGCTCCCCCTTCACCCCGGTGCCCCAGCTGCCTCCTGCCCCTGCAGGCTCCCCCTGTCCTCCACTGCAGGACCCGCAGCTTTCTGAAAGGGCCAGAGCTGCATCACTACACGCGCTCTGGTGCCTCCTCCCTAAACCCTCCTAGCTACCTGCTGTTTGCCCTTCAGGTTTAGTTTAGGTGTCCCTTCCTCCAGCCCTGCCTTCTCAGGCTATTCGGTGCCCATTCTCTTCTCTTTCTCTACTGATGCAGCCTAGCACTTTTTGCTGTAATTGCCTCTTTATTATTTAGTCAGGTCTCCTCTACTACATACCCAATATCTGCAAATGCAAGGCTACCCCAAAATTAAATCAATTCTGCACACTCCCCACAATGAGAAGCTTTAAAAAAGTTTGTGTCCACTCACACTTCTAAATTTGATATAACCAAATGTATGCTTATAAGGGTCATTGTATGAGTTTAACTACACAGAGATATTTTTAAATCGCCGATCATTTAAATTAGGGGTGTCGAACTCAATCAGAGAAGGGGCCAAAATCTAAAATCCAGCCTAAATCGCGGGCCGAATGGTTTACTGAACAGTCATAAACTGTCATTGTGATGGAAACGCAGCGGAGTGCAGTGATGACAATGCGGTGCGGGCCACATTGCAAGGCCTGGCGGGACAGATTTGGCCCGCGGGCCTTGTGTTTGACACATGTGATTTAAATTAATGTTAACTTGGAATTATTGGTTCGTGCTGTTCTTTACACTTCTTAACAGCATCAGTATCTTCCCCATCAACTAAATCTATTGTCATATAGCTGATCTTCTTTATCGTCTGCTGTCTGCAGTGCCATGATTGAATTCTAGAAACTTTGTATCAAGCTTCAAGCGATCATGTATCATTACGGCACATGGGTACTTTTCCCCCATTCACCGGCTAAGTGTGTTTGCATGGTGTCTACAATGTAACTGCTTGCTGTGCTGCTTTCTAAAGTGACCTTTAATGCTTTGAGGATAGCTTGCTTATCCTCAAAGTAATTTCTCAATTAAATAATTTCTTCTCTGACAGATATCTCTATAATACACATCTAAAAGTAGCACAAAAAAAGTTTGCTTTAAGCCAATGTATCTTCCCTAATCAGCACTTTCTTGGGAAGCTAAGAGAATCCCTGCTTTCTATGATATTCCAAAACAATATGACTCCCTCTTTTCTGAAAGATAATTGTGGGGGAAAACCAGTGTAATATCTATGTATATGTGGTAAAAGGGCCAAGACGACAGCATTATCTTTTCACAACTGTGTTCTCTGCATCTAGCACGTGCTTGTGGTATACGTAACTTCTCAGGGATAGATCCACAGGTGCCATGTAGTTAGCACTTCTGGTTTGGGGCCCCCCTGGCTGCAGTGTGAACCTGAGACACAGCTGATTCAGAAGGTGTCTTTGCCATGGAGCAGAGCAAAGCTACCTGGTCCTGCCAAGGAGGTGGCCCCAACCTTCACCTCACTGTCACCACCAGGTTTAGTGTGACCTGCAAACTAGTCCTAGAGAAGATACTGGCACAAAACCCACAGCGGGACCATCCTACATCTGTCAAGTTCAGGGCAAAAATACAAGGGTCAATGTTTTCATTGCATGGTACCCCTGATCTCAAACCACATGTGGGCTTCCAGTATCCCACAGAAACTGAAACCGGAATGACATGGGGGGTTGGGGGGTTGGGGGGAACCCACTGCATATTCTGAGTTCCAATCTGCTGTTAAAGTGTAACTTTTAAATGTCGTCATAGAAAACTACCACATATCTGTTTAAATATTTCATAGTAGACTATTCAGAAGCAAAATAAAAACTTTAAGTTACTTTTCTGGGGGCATCCACCTAAATAAATGAAAAAAGAATTTACTTAATACCAAGAGCTCAAATTTCCCAGTCTTCTCCCTCACTCAGTCCAGGACTAGCTGGTATTACAGATTCTCCAAAATTAATACTCCATTCCATGCATGGACTTATTATGTCTACATACCTTTTTTTTCTTCTAAAAATAAAGAGAAAATACAAAGACAGATTTATTCCACTGGAATTAGCTCCAATTAAGTACTGTACATAATTGAAATAGTTACTCTAAGAATATTCCTTCCCAAAGTAACTATTAATACTGAATAATTATTTTATGTACTTTTCTATACCAGTGTACTTTTTATGTATAGAAAAGTACATAAAAATAATTATTTTATGTACTTTTCTATACCACTTTTTCTATATCAGGGTCTAAAAATCCAAGTCAGCTGAAACCGGTTTGGTTCAGTGGATAGAGCATTGGTCTGTGGACTGAAAGGTTCGATTCTGGTCAAGGGCATGTACATTTGGTTGTGGGCACATCCCCAGTAGGGGGTGTGCAGGAAGCAGCTGGTCTATGTTTCTCTCTCATCGACGTTTCTAGCTCTCTATCCCTCTCCCTTCCTCTCTGTGAAAAATCAATTAAATAAATAAATAAATAAATAAATAAAAATCCAAGTCAGTTGGTTCTTGAGAACTTGAAACACTGTTAATACATGATAGCTGTGACTCAAACCCGCCCCCGAAAGTTGATTTAACTTCAAATTAACTGAATACAATCCAGTAATAACTTGAATATGGGGAGAAAGGGAACAAAGTTCCTCCATCTTCTGCCAGCACGTTTTCTGAATAGGCTGTTTTTCTTAGGCATCTTCTCTTTGTTCCTTCTCCATCCCTTTCCCACATCTCAACGGGCTTCTCCCCCACAGTGGGGAAGGAGGCCAACTTCTGCAATGAGCCTGCAAACTGCCTTGAGCCCAAACACTAGCTTTCTGCTCACCTCGGAGGCACCTAGGAAGAAAAACACCACCTGTGCTGGTGTGAATGACAGCAAGTCCTTCCTAGGACAATTCTCAGGGTGGGGGTCTCTGAGGTTAGCCCTACCCAGAATCAGGGCAGGAGGTGCCGTCCTTTCTCCGCGGTGAGTTCTGCCATCTCACACTTTCTAGAGGAGCAGGCCCGGGAGAGCGGAGGGGAGGAGGGGCCAGAAGCCAGCCGGGAGCTCAGGGTCATGGGCTGCGGCCCCCAAGAGCGCAGCCCCGTCCCCTGGAGCTGCGTGTGCGGCCCCAGAATTCGCACTACTCTCGCGGATCGGGAACCCTCTTCCGCCTGGGCCACCCTTCCAGAGTGGGAATTCACACCTCTGTGAGTTCCTATTCTCCAACTAAACCTTCAGGCAGGCGGTGAGCCCGGCACAGACTCCGCGGCAGGACCCCCGGTCCCCACTGGCCGCCGCACGCGGCCCGGCCCCGCCGCTCAGCCAGGCCTCCGGCCGCGCATAAGTTTGGGGAGGGGACCGAGGGGTGGCCCCTAGGTTTCCAGCAGCCCCAGAGCCCCGCGAGCGCCCTTCCCCTGGTCGGGTGCGTGGACTCGGGGGAGGGGGCCTAGGGGAGGAAGGGACGGCCCATTCCGGCTCCCGGGTCGGGACCGCCCCCTCCTGCTCCGCCCCGGCCGCCCGACGCCACGTCAGCCGCGAGCGCCCCAGCCCGCCCCGCGGCCCGCGGGGTCCCACACCCCAGGCCCCGGCCCGGCGCCGCTCCGGGGGCGCATTCTGCGGGGCCAGAGGGGACGGCGCGTGCAGTTACCAGGGCGCGAAGAACATGACGAAGTGCGCGGCGCTCCGGATCCCGTGCGTGAACATGTCGCCCGTGTACAGGTGCTTGGTGTGCGGGTCCTCCGGCTCCCCGCCGAACGCCGGGAGGGGCTCCGGCGCCGCCGCGCCCGGCACCTGGGCCCCCGCGCCCCAGCGCCCGCGCCCGCCGGGGCCGAGCAGCAGCAGCAGCAGCGCGGCCGGCGCCAGCAGCCGGGGCCGCGCGGGGAGGAGGCGTCCGGGGCGCGCGGGCATCGCGGCGGGGCTGGCGCGTTCCTACCGGCGGCCGGTCCCTTCCGCGGCGCCCCCGCGGCCGCCCGCCCCGCGCCGCCCCCCGAGGCCGCGCCCCCTCCTCGCCCCGCCCCGCCCGCCCCGCTCGGCGCCCGCGCCCGCGCCCGGCCCGGCTGAGTGCGCGCGCCCGCGGCGCCGGAGAGCGGGGCGGGAGTTCGGGGTAGTCCCACAGGGCCCCTGCGCTTCCTCAAACCCAAGCAGTGCCCCCTGAGCTCAGAGCAAGGATGAGTGTTGGAGGGGCGGAGACCAGGCAGGAATGCCACAAAGGGAATGCCAGCTTCGGGTGATCTTGGCATACAGAGACCCGGCCTTTGGGGCAAAGGGAAGAAAAGAGATGGCTGTCAGCAGAATGTAGGAAATTGAGCAAAAGTGGGTGGGTGTGCACCTGGATGAGTCAAATTCTTGGCGAGACATCAACTGTGATTCTGAGTCTGAGCTCAAAGGTGTGATGGAACCCTTGCCTGTTATCCCTGCCCTGCCTTAACTTGGGGGAGAATAAGGAAAGAAACTCAGAGAAGCCTCTTGTAGACAAGTCCTGCAGGCCTCCTCCTTACAAGACTAGCTGGTGTGTCTGACTGTGCCCTAAGACATGGTGCATGAGAGTTAGAAAGATGAATGACAACATCCCTTCTCCCGCTGAACCTGTCCCTGTGGATGGCTGAAAGGTATCCCCTGGTCTTGGGCACCTCACAATTCACACTGCACACAGCCCTATTGCTTATGGCAATGGAAGCTTCAGATCGTGCCTGGGGATCCGAAACTAAATGAGGGATCATCCATGGTTAGCTTCCCGGGTCCTGCTTGGTCCTTGATTATCCTCATTCTGGGAAACTGAAGGCCGGGACTCCAGGCCTGACATCAGGGGAACAGCCCACTGATTCACCTGTCATGACAAGGCTCCAGCAGTGGCTGAACCTTTAGCCAGGATTTACCGAATACCAAAACCATTAATTTACATTCAAAACCTATTCTCCCCACTGAAGCTGAAACATGAGAACCATTCCCCACTCGATCTCTCATTTCCCTTTGCTCTAATTGAAACCAAGCACATTTCTTAGAGCTATTATTTCTTCCACTATTCTCAGAATTTATACCCTGAACCCTTAATACTGGCCTGTTGTAATAGCTTTCTAAGGAAGGACCTCTTTTCTTCAGGATTGATTTTCCTAAAGCCTGCCTTTGACCATGATAGTTTGCTGCTCAACACCCCAGCCTCAAGGTAAGACACATTCCCAAGGCCCTCTGTGATGTGATTCCACCTGCTTGGTGTCCTCATAAAACTCACTATGACACATCCAGGGATCCTTTCCCATAACCTATTGCCAGACTCTCATCTCTGTCCTCCTGCAAATCTCATACTTCCCAAACCCTTCCATTGTGATGTTGGGAAATTCCAACAAAAGATTAGCACACATTCTTATTGCAACCACTTCTTAGTACAAGTGTAGAAACAAGAGCCCTGTCAGAGAGCCACGGTTTGCTGCTCTGGTGACTAATGAGTTAGCCGACCACTGCCTCAGAGCCAGGAAATGCAGAAGGTAGCTTTCCTGCTCCCCACTGCTCCTCCCAAACCAGTCCTTCCCCCTCTGCTGGCCAACCCTCAGCTCCCATGTAATTGATGTCATTAGGTGTGGCATTGACTGCTCTGCTGCTTCCTGTCATCTCTCGAGGTTCCATCTAACTTCTCCCAGGTCACTCCCCATACCAGCACCCCATTCACCCCATTCACTGAAGACTTTGCTTCCAGGCCACCCCTTTCCTGCCTGCATTCCTGGTATCTTCAACCTCTAGGTGGATGGTCATCTGTTTGTCCTTCAGGGACTTCCTCCAAAAACGGAAACCCTACAACTTGGCATCACCAGAAACTGCACTGTCTCCAAAATCCAAAGGCATCCAACTCTACCCAACACCTCTTGCACTTACAGTTCACTTTGCTCACAATCCCCTCATCGTGACCTGTGAGCTCCCAATCCCACCATCTCACTGTCTCCTCACCATCCCTTGCCTCCTGATCAAATTATATCCCATCCTTATACTGACTACCTTGCCACCCTCTCCTGCAGTGATGCTGAAAAGCCTAAAAGTTAGTTTTTCCACTGTATGCAATCCCCTCTCCACCCTCCTTCAGTCATCATCCCTCTCAGCTGTCAACATGACCTCATAATTCTCTAAGAAATTGAAGCCTAAAAGCATGCCCTCCCTCATCCTTTCACCACCAAATCTGCACAGCCCTGAAGGAGCCTCTTCCCCCTCTTCCTCTGGTTACACAGATAGAAATTATCCTCCTCCTCGCGAGGCCAGTCCTCCAGAGGTGTTTTAGAGCCATTCCAGGTCCTAGTCCCTGGAACCTCTGTGTGTGACCTTACAAGACAAAGGAGACTTTGAGGGTCATTAAAGAGGAACGATCTTGAGGTGGGGAGATTATCCTGGGTATCTGGATAGGCCCTAAGTGTAATCTCGAGCGTCCTCATAATAAAGAGGCCGAGGAAATTTGACTGTGGATGAGCAGACAGTGTGACCAGAGCAGAGAGGTTTGAAGATGCTTCACTGCTTACTGAAGACAGAGGAAGGGACAATGAACCAGGGAATGCAACTCAGAAGCTGGAAAAAGCGAAGAAAGATTCTTCCCTAGAGCCTCCAGAGGAGCTTTTGACCCTACTGACAATTTGACTGTAGTCCAGTGAAACTAGTATTTGAACTTCTGACCTCCAGAACTGGAAGAGAATAAATGAGTGTTTCAAGTCCCACAGTTGGTGGTAGTTTGTTAGAGCAGGCATGAAAACTCATACACCCATCTCAGCTCAAAGACCTCTCTCCCTCAGCTTTCTCTCTCCTGCATTAATTTGGGCTGTTGTCTCTCTCTATCGGATCATTTCCATCTTTGTGCAAACATACTTTAGTATCTCCTAACTTAAATGCTTTTTAAAGCCCCTTGACCTCATGATGCCCAGCCACTATGCCAATTCTTTGTATGTATTTTATTACTTTCAGAGAGAGAGAAGACAGGAGGGAGGGAGAGAAGGAGAGAGAGAGAAACATCAATGCGAGAGAGAAACATCAGTTGGTTGCCTCCCACATGTGTCTGGGGCCCGCAACCTGGGTATGTGCCCTAACCAGGAATCAAACCCGCCACCTTTCGGTGTACAGGCTGACACTCCAACCAAGTGAGCCAGGGCTATTACAATTCTTTAGTTTCCCTTCATAGCAAAATCTTACAAGGATTATCTGCATTTCACTTTCCATTAATTCTTTAGTACATGCCATTGTGGTACCCATGCCCACCATACACCTGTCACGGCAGAGGCCTGCATTCGCAAGTCAGAAGAATACTTTGCTCTCCTCATCTCCCAGGCTTCTTGGCAGCTTCAGTACAGGCTTGGTCTCCAACCCACTTTTCTTCTCTCTACACTCACTCTTAAGTGTTCCCATTCATAGCCATGGCCTTAGACACTGTCTATATGTGATGACTCCAAATTTTATGTTACCAGCTGAGATCTTTCTCTGAGCATTTACTATCTACCTGATGTCATCATTTGTTTATATTACAGGTGTAGCCAAAACCAAACTTGTGATTCCCCACAGCCATCTGCTTGTCCTTTGGTTTCTCCACCTCTGTAAATGCTGCTGTTTGCTCAAAGCAGAAACACTGGTTGTTACATCCTGTGTTTCCCTTTATCCTTAGTGCTGTGTCTCAATCCAGAGTCCAGCCCCCACTCACATCAGCAAGCTCAATCGTTTTCATTTCTGAAAGCCAACTCCAGTCGACTGATCGCTTCCACGACTGCCATATCCCTTCTTGTTTTGTCATTTGAAATAGCGTCCTAATGATTATGTTACCATCCATGTGTCCCTCCCATCTGTTCTTCAGATAGCAGTGGGAATTGAATCACCTCCTTTTTCACTTACCATCCTTCAGTGGCTTCCTTGTCACCTTGAATAAATTCCCAGCGCTTTGCCTTGACCTTCAGAGACCTTTGGGAAAGACACAATCTCCTGCTGCACGCGAGCCCGGCTCCCCCAGGTTCTAGCCATTTCGGATGATTCTTCATACCTTCCACATGTTTCCCTCCTCTGCGCCTATAGTGCCCAGTGCTTGCTCCCTCTTGTCTTCCCCTGTGACTGGCCTCCTTGTGCCCTCAGGCCTCCTTTTTTTTTTTTTTTTTTAAGGGTTTCAAATTGAATATTTCATTAACATGGTAGTTGTCTTTGTAACATGTGCAGACACACTTGCACATTCAGAGTGATCTGTGCCCCCCCGGGGGGGGGGGGGGAGGAGACTTTGTATGCCTAAGGGGAAAATGAAAAATTTAAAAATTTCTATAGGTTTTCATTATCGTAGGCAATAATGTCCATTATTACTCCCTCAGGGTCACCTTCCCCAAGCATCTCTCTGGCGCAGCCTTCCTCTGCCCACTGTGCTCTCCCCGTTGCTGCATCACTCCACGGCCCCTTTCCCAACTTGATGCTGTTTTGTGGCAGATTTGTGTGTTAAGTTAGTTAACTGCCCTTTTCCAATGGTGAGCCCCATGAAGGCCACACCTACCTGTCATATTCATCACTATCTCCCCGAACCCAAACTCCTGCCACAGAGAGATGCTTACCTGTGTTGGGTGAAGGAGCCCATCTTTCCACCCAAATCTGTCTCCCCTGTTCCACGAAGACTCGATGACTTAGTCTTGGCTGTTCCCTTTGCTGGGAATGACATCCCCCTCCCCGCTCCTCTGCATCAGTCACATCCTGCCTTCCCCGGATGGCCCAGCAACAGAAATGCCCCACATGTGGCTGTGCTCACCTTCCTCTCAAGCCCCAGGCTCAGGGTCGGACCTGTGGCTTTGTGTGACAGCAGCTACCCATGCCTCTGCTAGAGCCCCACCCTGAGCACCTGAAGACAGAGAAGTTAAATTGTACAACAACGAAGTGAATACAACTTTCTCAGGGAAGACTTTTCTAACCCCGGAAGAAAGCTGCTCCCTGCCCCCACTGTGCTGCCATATTGTCCTTCCCCTCGTACCCTGAACAGAAGAGTCATTTGTGTAATTTTTGTTTAGTGTCAGGCTTCCACTCTAGTTTCCATGGGTGAGGTGTGTAAACAAGGTGTCTAGTGTAGGCTGTTGAATGAACACACGAAAGAATTAATGAAAAGTCGAATTTGTTTACCTTTAGATAGTGGCTTCCTTGACCAAGAACCCTGACAATTACTGCCCTGACCCAGCAAATAAGGCAAAGCCTCTTGTGTAAAGCTGTCCTCATCCCAGTGAGCACAATGGTCACCAAACTGGAAGGAATTGCTAGGGAGGGCAAACTCTGGCTTTCGTTGTCACCTCCTGAAGGTAAAATGAGCCCCAGTGAGTGTCATTTTGGGAAGAGAGCCCTGGAGAACATTGCTCATACAGAAACTGAACTGCCACCATCCCAGCCACTTTAACAGGTGCATCCTGAGCTGCTTTGGGCTGACGGCGCTGCTTTAGGCCGGCACTGCACACATTTGCATCCTGTCGTTCGGTTGGTCAGAGCATTCATACCATACTTTTCTCACTGAGCTTTTGTAACCATTCAACATGATGGTTGAGAAAGAGGGCAGAGCTAGAGGGCTGCTCTCATCAGAGAACATGTAACCGAAAAGACTGGAGCGACTTCCCAGCCTGCAGTCACCCCGAGCAGCAGAGCTATTGTCAGTGTTTTGAAATGGCCAATGGAAATTCGATAACTACCCACACAACTTCCTCGAACAACACTGTCCACTTCCTTCTAAACAGTAAGCACAAGAAGGCACATTGTAACATACTAGATTCATTTGGGGGAGATCAAGCTTTCAAAATCCATGTGAGCTCCACGCCAGGGAAAATAGGAAGATTTCCTCTGCTGAATGTATTGTGACCACTGAGCTAAAAGAACTGTGCTATTTCTCAAAGTCCACGGATAGCTGGGCCTGACTTTCCCCACTGTGGCCCACTTAGTCCTCGCACATGCTCCTTATGCTCCTTCTCACCTGCCAGCCTCCCAGGCTTCGTGTGCTGGAGGCTATTACGCCGCCCTCTCCCTGACCCCCTCGGTGAGGGGCCAGTGTGCTGCTGCAGAAGCCTGCCAGTCAGCACCCGGTTTGAGAACAGGAGAGCAGGCCTCCCACCGAGGATGAAGGCCACTCACTACGCAGCTCCACTCCTCTCTTGGCCCTGCTCGCTGTGTTGATGGCCTTGGCCGTGGCCTGCGAAGTTCCTATGAGCAGAAGGACAAGCTTCCCTCGTGGTGCTTAGAGGCCAGCTCTTAATGGCCGCCTGAATCCCAGAACACTTCCAAATTCAGAGTCTAGGATAATGGTTTGCCTACCTGTGTGGTTCTCGACTCTGGCTGCAGTTTGCAGTCCACTGGGCCCGGAGAGGAGTCCTGCCCTGCCTGGCTCCCAGGGCTGACAAGCACTGGGATTCCTCTGTGCACCGTCGGCCTCTGCTCCTGGGGTCCCTGGGCAGGGGCACGGCAGGACCCTCAGAGCACAACATGGAGCAGACACCGAAGGGATGCTGGTGTCCCTGCAAGTTAATAGGTATTTTCTTAAGAAAAGGCCCTTAAGACAAACGTGTGTACAGGACGCTGGGCTAAAACAAGACAAAACAGTCAGGAGTGATGTCCAAATTGTGCCATAATATTGCTCAGATCAAGGTGCCATAATATTGCCACCTTTGGGCGCAAACTTGGCCTGGCCCACCTCTGCGACAGGCCACCTGATGTGGCTGCTACAGCTTCTGCCCTGCCACCAGCCTTGCAGGGATGGATGGCACATGACACCTGGTTCACAAATCTGGCTTCCAGTGGAAGCCCTGCAAACACAGGAAAGGCATTTGAAGGAGCTGGGAGCCTAAGAGAATGCCAGATGAAGCTGGCATGGTTGCAGGAAAGAAAAGATGTGTTTATTTGCCAAAAGACTTATCAGAGATTTTTATATGTGAATGCACCCTAGAAATCTCTAAAAGCATCAAATACAGTGTTTTCCAATTTATCTGATCATAGAGTCCTTTTGTTCCAGGTATATCTTATGACATTATTGTTCTGAAGAACACTATGCAAAAGGCTTTATTACAAGAGAAACAAGATGGAGTAAAAACCTAAACTGCTGCCTTATACACAATTTCAAAACTACAACTAAAAGACAAAACAGACATCATCCAGAACCACAGAAAGGCTGGCTGAATGGAAATTATACAACTAGAAGGAAAGAGGAAAGCACACTGAGACTCAGAGGAACTGCAGAAGGCAGAGGTACCGAGGCATACTCAGAGAGGGCGAGCAACTGAGTGTGCAGCTGGCTTTCTCAAGCGAGAGCGTAAGGGCAGAGGGTGGGGTAGGAACCAGGTGGATGGGAACTATGGGGGGGAGGGGGGGGAGAAAGGAACAATTGTAATAATCTGAACAATAAAATTTTATTTTTTTAAATAAAGAAACCAAGTGAAGTTCCCAATGTGGAGCAAGGAAA